AACATCCAGCTTTCCTAGCACCATTTGTTTAAATAAAAAACTGTCTTTATGCCAATAACACACTTGTAGTAAGTTTTGAAATCAGGAAGTGAGTTCTTCAACTTTGTTCTTTTTCCAAAATCGTTGTGGCTATTTGAGAGCCCTTGTGATTCCACATACATCTTAGGAGGGAGTTTTCTATTGCTGCAGAAACGTCACTGAGATTCTGATAAGGATTCCATAGAATCTGAAGATTGATTTATATAACACTAACATCTAAACAATATTAAGTCTTCTAATCCATGAACATGAGATGTCTATTTATTTATGTCTTCTTTAATTTCTTTTAGCAATGTTTTATAGTTATTTTTCCAGTTATGTTAACTTTAATAGGCTGGCGGTCTCAAAAATCTTTCTAGTCTCCAGATGTTTGCAAACCTTTTGGCCTTTGAGCTTGAACCTGGAGCTTTACTCCAACTATAATATGATTTTCCTAGTGCATTCTGAAGTTCTTCTTCTGAAGAAGCCTAACCCAACCCAAACCTCTGTGATAGCCAGTCTCCTTGTCAAAAGGTAAAATACAATTTCATAGATGTCCAAACTGTGCAAAGTGTTCTCAGCTGACTGCACACTTCAGTCTAAAATTTTTCTCACAAAAGCAACCGGCTGACTGATATTTCTACACAGCACCACAGCACCTCTTGCTGCTAAGGCCGCCATCTTTAGACTCTGTTTTATAGTTTAAATTGTACAAATCTTTTACTTTCTTAGTTAATTCCTAAATATATATATTTTTGATGCCACTGTAGGTGGAATTGTTTTCTTTCTTTTCTCTCTCCTTCCTTCCTTGCTTTCTCTCTCTCTCCCTCCCCACCTTCCCTTCCTCCCCGCCCCCCGCTTCCCTCCCCGCTCCTTTCCTTTGACTGAGTCTCTCTCTCTCTCACCCAGGCTGGAGTGCAGTGGTATCGGGTGTGATCTTGGCTCACTGCAACCTCCACCTCCCAGGCTCAAGCGAGTCTCCTGCCTCAGCTTCCTGAGTAGCTGGGATTATAGGTGCCTGCCACCACACCTGGCTAATTTTTGTATTTTTAGTAGATATGGGGTTTTGCCATGTTGGCCAGGCAGGTCTTGAACTCCTGACCTCAAGTGATCCACCCAACTTGGCCTCCCAAAGTGCTGGGATTACAGGTGTGAGCCACCGTGCCTGGCTGGAACTGTTTTCTTACTTTTGGGATAGCTCTATTGTTAGTATATAAAAATGTGACTACTTTTTGTGTGATTTCATATCTCCCTACCTTGCCAAATTCATTAGTTATTACTGTTTTTAAAATGGAATTTTTAGTGTTATCTGTACGTTAAGAACGTATCATTTACGAACAGAGATAATTTTACCTCTTCCTTTCCAATGTGGATGACTTTAAAAAGATTATTTTCTTGCTTAGTTACTCTGGCTAGAACTTCCAGTGCTATGTTGAATAGGAGTACAAAAGTGAGCATCCCTGCCTTGATTCTGATTTTGTAGAATAAGCTTTCAGTTTTTCACTGTTGAGTATGATGTTCACTATGTGTTTTTTATATATGTCTTTTATTATGTTGAGGTAGATTCCTTCTATTCCCTGCTTGAGGGTTTTTGAAATGAAAGGCTTTTGAATTTTTGTCAAATGCTTTCTCTATCTAAATGGCAGTGATCAGACAGTTTTTTTTCCTCCATTCTGTTACTGTGCTGTATTACATTGCTTTTTTTCCTCTCTGCCATTGGTTGATTTTCATGTGTTGAATTATCCTTCCATTCTAGGAATAAATTCCACTAGGTCATGGTGTATAATCCTTCTAATATGCTGCTGAATTCAATTTGCTACTATTTTGTTGAAATTTTTGCATTTATGTCATAAACTGTATTGATCTGCAGTTTTCTTCTAGTTTCTGTGTTTGGCTTTGGTGTCATAGCAGTGCTGGCTTTATAGACTGACTTAGCATTTTCTTTTTAAATGTTTTAGGAGAGTATAAGAAGGATTGGTGTTGGTTCTTCCATAAATATTTAGTAGAATTCATTAGTGAAGCCAGGGTCCAGGGCTTTTGTCAAGAGGTTATTTTTAAATTACTCATTGAATCTCCATACAAGTTACAGGTTGATATAGTTTGTCTGTGTCCTCACCTAAATCTCATCTTGAATTGTAGCTCCCATAATTTCCACGTGCTGTGAGAGGGAGCTGGTGCGAGATAACTGAATCATGGGGCAGTTTCCCTCATACTGTTCTCGTGGTAGTGAATAAGTCTCACAAGATCTGGTCGTTTTATAAGGGATTTCCCCTTTCACTTGGCTCTCATTCTGTCTTTCCTGCCACCATGTAAGACATGCCTTTTGCCTTCTGCCATGATTGATTGTGAGGCCTCCCCAGCCACATGGAACTGTGAGTCCATTAAACTTCTTTTCTTTTTTTTTAAATAAATTTCCCAGTCTCAGGTATGTCTTTATAAGCAGTATGAGAGCAGAATAATACACAGGTCTATTCAGATTTTCTATTTCTTCATGATACAATCTTGGTAGGTTTTTGGTTTCTAGGCATTTGTTCCTTTCATCTAGTTTGTCCCATTTTTTGGTATACAATTGTTCATAGTACTCTCTTAAATCCTCTTTATTTCTGTAGAATTGATAATAATGTTCCCATTTTCATTTCTGATCTTAGTAATCTGAGTCTTTTATCTTAGTCAATTTAGCTCAAGTTTTATTAATTTTTGTTAATCTTTTTGAAGAACCGGCTTTTGGTTTTGTTTCTATTTTTCTATTTTGTTTTATCTATGTTTTAATCTTCTATTATTTTCTTCCTCTGCTAGCTTTTTGTTTGCACTTGTTTTTGACAGTTAATGTTAACAAAAGTATATATTTTTTCTAAATATGTTAATATTGTTTTTTAAATATAATTTCCTTTGTAGTCCTGTTTTAAATACACCTGAAAACACTGCAACGGTTTCATCACACTTGCAAAGGTGCCATAGCACAAAAAAGATTAAAAATCTTACTCCTGTCTAGAACCCCCTTTCCCAAATCCCCAAATTCCATTACATATTCTGCTATTTTCCTCTTAGATAACTGGTTTTTAGACACATAAATATCCCTGTTATTCCTTGAACAGAACAAAGCAAAACTTCTAGCCAGGTGCAGTGGCTCATGCCTGTAGTCCTAGCACTTTGGAGACTGAGGTGGGCAGATGTCTTGAACCCAGGAGTTGGAGATTAGCCTGGACAACATGGGGAAACCCATCTCTACAAAAAATACAAAAATTAGCACGGAGTGATTAACCTCAGGAGGCGGAGGTGGAAGAATCACTGAGGGACGTTGAGGCTGCAGTGAGCCTGCGCCACTGTACTCCAGTCCAGGTGACAGAGTGAGACCCTGTCTCAAAAACCTTCCACTCAGGGCTTTTACACTTGCTCTGCCCGTTATTAGTATGGCTTTCTCCCTTACTTGCTTCAGGTTTTTACTTGATGTCACTTTTCCTTTGAAGTCTCCATCCATCCGTTATGAATTAGAAACCACCTTTTCTCTATTCCCTGTACTGTTTTTTCTCCATAGCACTACTCACCATCTGGTGTGTGTATGTGTGTGTTTTGTGTGTATGTTTCTACTAGGCTAAGTTCAGAGATGGCAGGGACTCCTTTTTGTTCACTGTCATACTCCAAGGTTTTAAAATTGTGTGGCATATATATATGCTCTATAAATATCTGAGAAGAAAGTTCACATATGTTAAAGATGGCAACTGTTTTTGCAAGTTGCAAATTTCTTTCTGCCTTTTATAGTGAATTCTATCAGATGCTTTATAATCTTTTTTCCTTTCTTTTCTAGGCTTAGCAAAGCCAGCCTCTATTTAAGACTTTTCTTCTTTTTTTTTTTTCCCTTGGAGTCCATTTTTTCCCCTCCATTTAGGAGAAATACCCTCCCAATGCCCACCTTTTCTTTTTCTTTTGTTTATTGAGACGGAGTCTTGCTCTGTCTCCCAGGCTGGGATGTAGTGGAGCAATCTCAGCTCACTGCCAACCTCTGCCGCCCAGGTTCAAGCAATTCTCGCGTCTCAGCCTCCTGAATAGCTGTGATTACAGGCACCAGCCACCACGCCCAGCTAATTTTTTGTATTTTTAGTAGAGACAGGGTTTCGTCACGTTGGCCAGGCTGTTTTCGAACTCCTGACCTCCCCAAGTACTGAAATTATAGGCATGAGCCACTATGCCTGGCCATCCCCACCTTATCTGCCAAAAGGATGAACATCCCTGGCTTTATGTAGAATGGTGCATACTGCCACATCACCCTCCTCCATCTTTTTTGCAACATCTCGTCTTTGTTTTTGTTGCTTTCCCCCAGAACACACACTTGGTTTTGTTCTATCCTATACTTCGGATACGTTTATTTATTTTGTTTTCATATTGAAAAGATGACATTGCCCCAAGAGGCAAAATGGGAACTGAAAAAACGTTTTATTTTATCTTTTCATTCACCTAGAATGAATATGTCAACTGGGAGCTGAAATGCTTAAATATATTTTTCTCCAAATGGTTAACTAATCCTCCCAATAGCACTCATTTAAATAATCTGTGTTTTCCTCATGTTACATGTCTTTTACAAAATACAGCCTATTTGGGGCATGTTTCTGGGCTTTTGTTCTGTTAAGCTATCCGTTTGCTTACACCAGTAGTCATGCAATTTTTAAATTTCTACTACTGGGTTTTTATTTTACAAGAATCCACTGTATTTGTATTTTTTCAGTGGTGGTAAATGGAAAACATTAAAAATCGAATGAAAGCAGCAAAAAGCACACAATTTATGCCCTGTTAAGACTTCCGCATGCAAGTATGCTCCAAATATATTTTTTTCATCTTTAGTTTTCCTGTGGAAAGGGGCTCAAGTACTTTGGGAAGTTAAAACAGAATTGAGGGACCCGGAAAAGGCGCAGGGCAGACATGAAGGGTAGCGTGGCTACCAATTGTTCTTAATTTTAATTTTAATTAAACGTAATGTACTTTTTTTTTTCGAATAATTTAATCATCAAGTATATTAGCTGCCGGCTACTTACAACGTAATGTACTTAATTACTATTTGGATTTCCCTTCGGCATAAACAGCGAGGGAATATAACATAAAAAATCCCAGACTTTCGACACAATATACTACTGATCGTAACACAATTCTAGAGGGTCAAAAAGTTAGAAAGTTTGGACCTTGAGACAAAGACCTGGTGGAACGTCGACTCTGCGTCTCAGGGTAGCCAAAGCCTACTCAGAATTCCCTAAACGCGGAGTTTTGCTAAGTGGGGACGCTGAAAGGCTAGGGACAGACAGGAAGTCCTCAGGCGAATTCGCCATTCAGAAACAGAACCGTGACTTCTTTCACCTCCAGCGAAACAAACGGAGGTGTTACAATCCGCTGTAACAAACGGCTAGCGCCTTGCCGCATCAAACAATGGACTTGGAAATCAGTTTGCGACCACGCATCTACGCGTCTTCTGGTAAACGAGGCAGTGAGGTCCAACGGTACCAAGGACAGAATCGTATCTCTCGGGGATCACTGCAAACGCCCGCCTGCAGCGGAAGAGTTATCTCGCGAGACGACGGGTCCCCAAAAGGCACAAACCTAGCGCCAAGGTTGGCTGTGAAGGTAGATTCCAGGGTGCGGAAGTGGATTTGTGGTGCGACCTCTAACCGCTCAGAGGTCAACCCCCATTCGACACCGAAAACTAGGCCTTGCCTGCTATGGAAGGGCAGCAGGGGCAAGAAAGCCCCGCAACCCTAGCACTCGCCCAGGCTCATTTCAACAAGGGCGACTACGCGGAGGCCGAAGCGCTATACTCCGCTTACATTCGCCAGTGCGCCTGCGTGTCCTCCAGCCGCGTGAGTCCCGGGAGGTAACTATCGCGAGACCTGGGGCCGCGGCGACCCCGGGGTTGGGGTGAAGTTGCGGCCGTCTGGGCTTCCAGCTTTGGTGTTGGAGCTCACCGGCGACGTTTATAATAACCCAGCACTAGGACTGTACAGACTGACGTTCATTTTTCTAGAAAGGCCGAGGCAAGGCCTAGGACGAGGGCAGCGAAGAACGCGGGGAGGGAGCCCACCCGCGAGGAGCCATCTGCCGGGCGGTGCGGACAGCTTCCGGGAACCGAGCCCAGTACTTGGTCCTTGGGCGCGGGCCGCCCCCTCTCACCCCGCTGTCTCTTCTACGATCTATACTGCCACCCAGAGACTTAGGACAGATCGGGATTTTTCATTCGAGTTTTTAGCTGGCGGGAAATCTGCGACCTGGGAAGGGAAGGGGTCACGGCGGGTAGGGCCACCACAGTGTCACAGCCCTGGCTTTTGGTGGTGGTCTTCACTTGTTATGAAAAACAGATACAGGGAAGAGAGCATAACGAAGGAGTTTATGTAGGTGTTTATCACTTGGTTTAAGCATTATCCGTTTACCCATAGTTCTCATCCTTGGATGCTTCAGAACGAACCACGACGTCATCATCACGTAGCTACTTAATATGTGTTAATAGTCAGTGTTGGAACCTTTCTGATTAATAAGGTGATTTTTTTTCTTTGGTTCACTTTTCCCAGTTGGTTCAAGTCAGGATACACATCACGTCTTTTTAAGTCTCTTCTCCGCTTTGCCCCCGCAAGTTTTTCCTTTATTTGTTGAGGAAACGGATTCTTGTGTCCTTTGAATTTCCGTGTTTTGGACTTGCTGACTGAATGTCTTCTGTCATTTAATGTGGTTATCTGTCTCATTGCTCGTGAGTTGGTAGTTAAACCCTGAGGTTCGATCCAATTGAATTCAGATTCAATATCATGGCAAGAATACTTTCAAGGTGTGGATGTGTACTTTCATCAGGAAGCACATAATGACTGGCTGGCTTTTTTTTTTTTTTTTTTTTTTTTTTTTTTTTTTTTTTTATGTTAGCAGCTTCACCTGCTACTATCTGCTTACCCAAAGCATCTTTTTGGCTTGTGCCTGGATGTGTAGCATTTGCTTTTACTCCCAAGTCTTGCCTTGATTGGGATTGTTGTTGGTATGGAGTGGACCAGGATGAGAAAAGAACAGAGGGGTTGGTTGAACAGCTTTTTGAACAGTTGTGAGTTGTCTGTTGTGTATTTGAGTTTTCTGGGCAGGATGCCAGCTTGTCTTTTGTATGAGGCTTAACTAAACACCAAGGACTTGATTCTTAACCTATTTCTTACACTCATATGGAATTAAAGTAGAACGATAAAATTGTCTTCTCATTTCAATAACACACCAGAATAATGAAGTTTCTGAACAGGCAATAAGATGATACCATCATCCTTTCCTCAATGCACCTCCCCCATAAAAAAGATAGTAAACATAGAAAACGAAACTATTCATGTTTCAAGCTCTAAGAATATACTTATCTAGTAGATTTCAGAAAGTATTCATCCGCACCAGGTATGCTGATGCTGTCTAGTCTTGTTATTCTTTCTTTGCACACATCTCAGCAAAGAACACATCTCAGCCTAAGAACACAAGTGTCTGTAGCAAATATAATAGCTATACTTTACCAGCACAGGAAAAGACAGTTTCTCATAGCGCAGAAGGGAGTTCATCATACCTGAATTCCAATCTTGGCGCTGCCGCATGGCTAATGTCTCGGCCTCAAGTTTCTCATCTGTAAAGTAAACTTTCAATTTCCTGATACCTCTAAAATTCTAGGAACTCATAGATTAAATTCTGCCATTTCAGCTTTTTCCCTTCAGTTTATCTTTTGGCGCTTACATTTATTTTTAAAGTGTTGGGTCACTGAATCATTTTGAAACAATATTTGCAATTTTTGAATGCCTTTCACTCTGAATGGTTTGTGACATTTTCTTTTAATAAGTATAGCTTTAGTCATAAATCTGATTTCCAAAATACTATTTTTTTGCGAAAGTTAGCAAATCCTAAAAGTCCACATTTGGATTAGGTAACTTGAATGAATTCCATTATAAGAAATACTATCATTAAAAAAATTTTAATATTACAAAAAAATTTCAGCTTCCACTGTTAGTCCATTTCTTTATAATATGAAACAAAAGTTCCACGTGAAAATAGTCTTTTAGAATTTGATTGAATGAGATCTAATTCTAAATCTAACATTCTATGATTCTCTGAATATATTAATATATAATCATTAAAAACTTATAACAATAAGTTTGAAGCTTTGATTTAATGACCTAATGACTAAAACCTTACTGGCATTCTGAGATTTCATCGTGCGTTTTTCTTCAAACTCTCTGTTGGGAGCAGTTCAACTAGGGTCATGTCAGACATAGATGAAGGGGAGTGGTGCCCTCTTGTAATCCAGGTTTTAACAGGGGTACTTAGTGGCATCCAGAAGTATCCTTACACCCAGTCTCTATCATGGCTCATAAAATAGACATTTTCTAAAATTCCAGCAGTTCCTCTCCATCATTAGCAAACTTGGTTTGAAGGAGGCCCTTGGGCTGTGAGTGCCTCTCAGGGTTAGCAGTCGTTACAATTCCTGTCTGAAATCTCAAGGATCAAGATATTAAGAAAAGTAGCTTTTATTTACACTAACTGCAGTCACAGGTATTTTTGCAGGACTATACTTTTTACTACGGGGTACTACAAAGAAGTGACAGATGAGTTCTGTTTGGTTCTAATTTGAAAACTGCTTTGGGAAAAAAGAAAGGGAAACAGAGTCATTTCTGACTCAGAGCAGAACCACTACTGTTCTCTGTGCAGACTATTTGTCCTGTGCAGAGAAAGGTTCAGGGCAGCCAGGGTTTGTGACCTGTTGAGCTGGTGGTTGGTCAGAGCTACAGCCAGCCTGGCATTGGGGAGGATGCCAGCCGAGGTTGGACGGAGGGTAACTCTGTCCCCAGAGATCACTTCCTGGGGATCATAGCATGTTGAATTTTACCTAGCATTAACTTTAGTTCTTGATTGGTGGAAAGTAATTTCAAATCTCATTGTTTTAAGATCACTTAAAAATTTGAGAATGCAATTGATTCACATTGTGACGTGGCCATAGGAAACTTGGGCTTTGGGCTGGCTTTTCCTCTTTGTTCAGCATTTATCTTACTTGTCTTCTGTGCCTTGCTGGTGAGTGCTTAGAAAATGAACAATCATTTTAATGTTATATTCAGCAGAACAAGTTGGCAGTAAACACACTATGAAGTTAGTATGCTTTTCAGGTTGACATTGTAGTAGTTTAACCCTACAAAAGTAGATAACAGGGTTAAACAAAATTGATTTCATTTCTTTCTTTGTACGTTTTTTCTTCAGCTTGGTTTTTCAGGGTTGATGCTGCATGTTATAGGCTGTGAAGTTTGACAATACACAAAAGAGAATAAAAGTGGAAACGGGAGGAATTTGGTAACACGTTGTTTTTAATGTGAACTTTTTGTTTAAAGCAAATGCAGCCCTGAGGATTTGGCTACTGCATATAACAACAGGGGGCAAATCAAGTACTTCAGGGTTGATTTTTATGAAGCCATGGATGACTACACATCTGCCATAGAAGTCCAACCCAAATTTGAAGTTCCGTATTACAACAGAGGGTTGATACTGTATAGGCTGGGTAAGAATTTTTTTCTTTTTGGCTTTTGTCATTGACTGTATTCTGTTATTTCAGAGCTCTCAAATGTTGTAAAACTAACATGGTAATCAAGTTTTAAAGTTATGTGAAATTTAAGTTTAGAGCTTGGAACAAAGGAAGCCTCCCTGAGTTTATTTTAGGCTTTTGATAGGTGTTATAGATCACAGTAGAGCACTGGGGTGGGAATTGGACCTGGGCACAGGAGTCGGGGTGACCCCATTATTTTGTGTTTGTGCATTCCCAGCTGTGAAATGAGGGCAATTCAGAGGATCACCTGTGAAACTTTTCTGAGTTAAAATCTTCTAAGACATACAAGACAATAGAAAGTGAAGTTTAGATTCTTGGATTAAAGGGACCATAGGTACTCTTTCTCATTTAAAGTGTCAAAAAGAAAATTGGTTTCCTGTTTCTTAATTTTACTGCAATTATGTAAAACAGGCTATACAGTTTTGTTAAAATTTAAAATGACTGCTAATATTTACCTGTTAAATCTCAATAAATAAACCCATAGCTAATTTTAGGTGTCTTATTCCTTAAGGGCACACAAAACACATCTCTATATTATCATTAAGATAAAAAAATTCCTTTACTAGAAGTGATTGAAGGCTTATAAGTAAATATAAAAGCAAAAGTATGTGTACCAAAGCTTTGCCATGAATAAATGTATAGAAAGACTCAGTTTCTTTTCTCTTTTCCATTTTTTGGGTTCTGGTACAGGGTATTTTGATGATGCTTTGGAAGATTTCAAGAAGGTATTAGACTTAAATCCTGGATTTCAAGATGCTACTTTGAGCTTAAAACAGACTATTCTAGACAAAGAAGAAAAACAAAGAAGAAATGTTGAAAAAAATTGAAATGGTTAATTCCTTACATCTGCATCGTTATCAGTAATTTAAAATAGATATTGAGCTATTTTGATTTATATTTAAGAAATTAATACATTAGCACTGAAAGTTAATGTGTTTAAGGTAGTTAATTTCAGGTTTAATGGTTTTTTTATGAAGTGTAAATACCAATGTATATGTGTATATTATTAAATATTACAGTAAAAAGGAATGTGTGGTGTTTTCTTCAGTAAAACTATTTTTGTGATTTTTTTATTCTCAACTTTTTATTTTAAGAATGTTGTATCTACAGAAAAGTTGAAAGTATAATGAAATAGAAACTCTTCAATTAGATCCATTAGTTGTTAACATTGTGCCACATTTGCTTTTTCTCTATATTTAAGTATATAACTTTTTGCTGAACCCTTTGAAAATAAGGTGCAGAGATCACAGTACTTTGCCTCTAAACTTTCAGCCTACATTTTCTGCAATTGAAGACATCCTCCTTTATAACCACACCACCATTGTAATACCTAATAAAGTAAGTAATTCCGTAATGTCAGCCATTCCAGCCTGTATTCCAAAGTGTATAGATTTTTATTTGGATCTAGAGCCAATAAGTTTCATTGCATTTTTTTTTAATGTCTCTCTCAGTTCTTTTAATCTAGTTAGTCCCTGTCCATTTTCTCCGGCTTAAAAATAAACATGTCCTACAAGAGAATAATTTGAAAGAATTACACTTGATTTCCTCAAGTAATCATTGATAAAATGCTTTATGATTTAAATATTGAACATAGTTTTCTGTCTCTGGATAATGACAATTATCATCAGCATTTACTGAATACTATAAGCCAAGCACTGTTCAAATCTTTCTATAATAATTTGGTGATTGGGTAGGAATGTATAGAGAGGTGAGGAAATTACAAAAAGCACTTAGTAAATATAAAGCTTAAAAAAAAATCTCTTCTATTTGGGTGCTGCCAACAAGCAATTAGGCCCTGATGAGGCGATCAAAAACCGGGAAGAACTTGAAGAGAAAGCAAGCCAGAGCCAGCCACATGCCATCTACATGTTTTGGTGTTTATTGTTTGGTTTCCAGAGATTTAGACCATGCATCTCAGATCTCCCAAACTAGTTTTTTTTTTTTTTTTTTTTTTTTTTTTAAACTCTGCCTCCCAGGTTCAAGCAATTCTCTGGCCTCACTCCCAAACTGGTTTTTTACTGCTATCGAAAAGCAGTAGAAATTACCCTACCTGTGGTAGAAATTACCCTAATCAGGAGAAAGGAAAGTGTCTGCTTTGTGTCTCCAGAGTCACTTCTGGCCTCAGATGCAATCATCATCAGCAGCCTTAAAATATTTTTTATGTGTTTGAGTGATCTCATGAAGCAGAAAAGTAATTGCCTTGTTTGAAACTCATAAGTAATATCTGGCAAAATACATGGAGAATTTGGGCTGTAGGTAAGTGAATATTAAGAGGAAATTAGGTTTGATGGCCTAGAAACAAAGTCTCATTTTCCAAAATGGTTAATCTTTCTATTTGTTGGAAATCTAAAAAAAAAAAAAAAAAATTATAAAATCGCATGAAAATGTAGAAAAATCCCTTTTAGGAAAACTTTTTTTTTTTAAAAAAGCAAGTTCCCCAGGCCTTGGGAGGGAGATCTTTAAGCCATGACACCCAGAGTAGCAAATGCTTAACTTTTATTTTTATTTTCTCTAGACTCATATTCTCTTTACTCCTGACTGGGATCAGATGGAATATAAAAAGGAAAAATTGTTTAAAATTTTCATGTGGTTTGTTAGATTTTATTCAAAATTTCTTCATCCTTTATCAGTAAAAAAAAAGTTACTGAAGTTCTGAATCAGCACTGGCTGACTGGAGACCCAGGCACTTATTTTCTCTTGTCTTGTTACTGGAAATAACTAACGAATAATTCATTTACCTTGTTGAGCTTTGACACTTTAGGCGTTATTCAGATTCTTAGTTTCTGATTGACCAAATAATACCTTTGATGTTTACTTTGAATGATATTCAATTCCCCATCTCAGTATTTCTTATTTCCTTTTTCTACTAGAAAAATATGTTTTTTTTTTTTTCTCTATGGAAACAGAATTGTGGTTTGTTATTTCTCTTTCACAAAGGGAGGTAAGATAGGATAAAATGGATTTAAGTTACTTTTAAGTTTAAAAATGACTCCTAACAGTAGTTGAAAAGTGTGGAGCTGTTTTTTTCTGAAATCGAACTGAATAAAATCCACAGATTTCTTTATGATAGCAAAGCAAATATCCAAGTCAGCTTTTAGTCATTATCTTTTTGCTCTTTTGCTCTGTCTTTTTGGTTTTGTTTTTCACTGGCTTCTCTATGCCCTCAATCCTAAATGTAGTCTTGGCTCCCTGCTATTTTGCAGGCCTTAAATCTTTCTCGATGGGCATGATATAGTTCAACCCTACCTACCACTCAGAGTTTACGCTGATTCTCGTCTCACTGTCTCCCTTCCTGCCACGTCTAACTCCCTTAAAAATTTAACTCGAAAGTACAGTTTGTGTATAAGCCGTAATAGCATGGATTATTTTTTCTCTTTAGAGGCAGGGTCTCACTTTGTTGACCAGGCTGGGTTACAGTACATGATGACATCTCACTGTAGCCTTGATCTCCCTGAGCTCAGGTGATCCTCCCACCTCAATCTCCTAAGTAGCTTGGACTATAGGCATGCACCATCATGCCCCGCTAATTTTTGCACATTTTGTAGAGATGGGGTTTCATCACATTGCTTAGGCTAAGCATGAATGTTTACTACGCTAGTTTTTTGTTTTATTAAGATATAATTCACATATGTAGTTCACCCATTTAAACTGAACAGTTCAATGGTGTGAAGGTATATTCAGAGTTTCTGCACCATTTTTCAAGGTTTTTGGATATTCTGGTCTTGCATGCAAACTGCACTTAATAAAGTTATAACACAGAAAAACTTGTGTGCAAATTAATGACTAAACAGGAGAGTGCTTCAAAAACATATCAGCTCAGCCGGGCATGGTGGCTCATGCCTGTAATCCCAGCACTGGGAGGCTGAGGCAGGTGGATCATGAGGCCAGGAGATCGAGACCATCCTGGCTAACGTGGTGAAACCCCATCTTTACTAAAAATACAAAAAAATTAGCCGAGCATGGTGGCGCACAGCTGTAGTCCCAGCTACTTGGGAGGCTGAGGCAGGAGAATTGCTTGAACCTGAGAGGCAGAGTTTGCAGTGAGCCAAGATCGTACCACTGCACTCCAGCCTGGGTGGCAGAGTGAGACTCCGTCTCAAAAAACAAAAAACACAGATAAGAGTTTTAAAAGGTGCTGCTTCTGGATTCATCCAAATATGTGGCACAATTCCGGTTTGTCTCATGTGATGTTCTCTAACTACAAATGTGTTGAGTAAATCAGAGAGCTCATCTCTGCCTGAAACTGATGCTGAATTTATTTAGTGTGTAGTGTCAACAATTTGTTAAGCACAGCAATATGTTTAAGTTAACTAATACTCTGGTTTAGGTTAACATATCGCAGTGCTAAACAAATTGTTGACAAATGTGGTATAGCTTTTCAAGAGCGTAGGGAAAAGCTGCTTATTTTCTGTGTAAGCTAGGTGTGTAATTTTTAACAATTTCTGCATCAGTTCACATTGGTGTTTTCTGTATTTCTCAAAAATGTGACAGTAAATTGTGAGAATAGAATGCCCATAATTTAAAATGGTGGTTGGTAAGAGAGGGAGAGGGAGATTTGTTAAATTTCACATCTAATGTTAGGGGACCTCAAAGGACACCATTTCACTCTACAGAAAGCAAAGAAGGATGGTAAGTATAGTTATTTCTGTTTTTGGAAAAACAAAGCAATTGATACAATTAAAACACATAGTTTATCCTTTTTAAAATCACAGGAAGGTTAAAAAAAACACGTCATGGCCGGGCGCGGTGGCTCAAGCCTGTAATCCCAGCACTTTGGGAGGCCGAGGCGGGTGGATCAAGAGGTCAAGAGATCGAAACCATCCTGGTCAACATGGTGAAACCCCGTCTCTACTAAAAATACAAAAAATTAGCTGGGCATGGTGGCGCGTGCCTGTAATCCCAGCTACTCAGGAGGCTGAGGCAGGAGAATTGCCTGAACCCAGGAGGCGGAGGTCGCGGTGAGCCGAGATCGCGCCATTGCACTCCAGCCTGGGTAACAAGAGCGAAACTCCGTCTCAAAAAACAAAACAAAACAAAACAAAACAAAACACGTCATGTAGCAAGACAAATTATAAAACAAGCAACCTATAAGGAAGCACTGAAACAGATTATGAATATGCGTGTAATAGTGAAATAGCACAACAGTGTAATCCCAGGTTTATATTCAGTAACTCGTGCAAGGTTATGTCCAAAATCCATATAAATATTTAAAACTGCAATGGGTATCAATGTTTGTGCTGCTGGCATCAACTCACAGCAGATACATAGACTTTTGTTTTCTTTTTTTGGTCCTGATACAAAATTTAAATTGTTCATAAAATCTTTTAGTGCCCAGAAGAATGAGTATCAAAACAATGTTAAAGTACATTTTAATATAATGGAATAGTATTACAATGCCCACATGCTTGGTGGTCATTTTTCTCATTAAAAACAGGCACAAAAGATGATGAAAAGCAGATTAATTTTAAGAGCAAACTCCATTTGGAAACTAGAAAGCTGCAGCTGCCAATATGTAAAATTTTATCTTTTGTCAAAAAAAAAAAAAAGCATCCAATACTTAAAAATAAGGCAAAAGGATTTGCATGTCATTTCAGTATCATGCCAGCAGACCCACTCAGCAACTGTTTAATTCTCTCAGGGGGCAGTGTGTGTACCTTTCTTTGCTTTTCTATTTACCCTTGATTAGGCCCAGCCTCTGTGAGGTTGCATGTAACTTGTAGATTTTTTCCAGAGGAGATGCAATGAATTCTGTCTGGTACAAAAGATAACCCCAAAGGGTTTGACTTTATTGCCCTGAAGAACGTTAACCAGTTTTGTATTTAACCTAGCAACTTGATTCCCAAATTCTTTCTTCATGGGTCATAAGTACTCAGTTATTCTAACGCTGTTTTACCACTCTGGTGGTTCTCTATTAATGAGTTAAACATTTTTCACATTTTCATTCTATATTCTTATAAGGACCATACTTAACTTTAAAAAACATTTTGGCACTACTGCTGAAGAAACAACAAAAAACGCTTGGTATGGTT